CCACAGGGTGTGGCCAGCCCCAGAAGACTGGTCTGGGGATTTGCCACACACACACCCCCAATCTGGTTTCACTTCTCCTTCCCCTTGGCCAGAAATAACTGGCCAGGTGGCTGGACCAGTGTGGCAGTAGGGGGCACCTCTGGGGAGGGCAGCAGCCTGGGGGAGGGGGAGTGGAGGCCAGCTGGAAGGGGGGTGTTGCCACTCTCTCCCACCTCTTTGTCACTTCTGATTGAGGTGCTGGTGCATTTGCTCAGAGCCAAGGAAGGGGCTTCTGGCCTCCCTCCCTGATGGAATCTCCCAGCCCCATATGCTGGGAAGCCCCGGGTGAACCAGGTCCTGGGTGTCTGGACACCTGGGTTCCTTCTCTTGGGAGAGAATTAAACCCTTCACGTGTGCTAGGCTCATGATCAGCTTTTGCTTAGTGTGGGCTGTGGGGCTCATCCGAACCTAGGAATTTCTAGCCCCTGGCCCCTGTGCTCCTGGGGTTTTTGAGAAATGGAATTATGTTCAGGGCTGGGCCAGGGAGAGGGTCCCTGTGGTGGGAGGGGAGGATGAGCCGTGATTGAATTACCTGCAAAGTTGGAGCAGGGAGGGTGGCCTGTCCCGAGAGGGAGGGACTGTGATGGAATCATTGGAACGAAACACTCCAAGATCCCCAGGGATGCGTGGACTTGGAGAATGTGGGCCCCTCAGCCACTCGGGCTCAGCTAATGTTTACTAAGGGCTCACGTGGACCAAAACTCTCAGCTGTTCTGCATTCAAGGTCACAAGAACCCTGAAAGAGAGAGGACCCCTAGGAGCCCCATAATCTAGCAAATGAGCAAACAGGCTCAGAGACGGGTACTTCTTGCCCAAGGTCACGCAGCTAGGAGCAGGAGGGCGGGTGCTAAGTCAGGCCAGGCTGACCCTCTCCAGCCCCCGCCTCTGCTCTGGATCCTGGTGTCCCATCAGGAAAGCCACCCCCATCCGAGACTGTCTAGCCTTTGAAAAATAGACACAAGTGGACCTAAGGAAGCACCTTACTGATAGCCCCTGGAGGGTCTAGAGAAAACCTCCAGTTTAGAGGGCTGTCAATGTGGGGTCCATGCAGAGGGAGGGGGCCCTAGCTTACTCCCCCCCACCTCTCCCCCATCCTGACCCTGGTCCTCTCTTCTGTAAGGCAGGGAAACGATCATACACAGAACCCACGAGCTCTGGGCCTGGCACAGAAACCCGCTCAGTAATCAAGAGCTGGTTTTATTATCAAACCAACCACCTTTTTTTGAAAACCTGTCTCCCACTCTCCAGGCTTCTGAATCGAAACCCCTGCCCCACCCCTTGCAAGCCGTGTGACCTCAGGGAAATGTGTCTGCCTCAGTTTTCCCATCTGGAAGATGGAGGTCTTATTTCCTGTCTCAATACAAGAGCACTCCCCCATCCCTCACTCTGCTTTCGCTTTTAACTTTTTCTTCAAGATTTACAAGCACACGAAAGGAATCCTCGTGGCCTCATCCCCCACTCCACAGACCTTCCCTGCCGCTCGTCCTGCCACCTGCTTCTCTGACACCGGCTTCCCCCTGCACAGGGTTTCGCCTGTCTGCTCGCGCTGTTTTCGCCCTCGAATGGAGCCTTTCCCACGGGGGTGTCCAGCTGGCAGCTGTGCACTGTGACTGCTGTCACTCTTCCCTGTCCCACTGACACCTGGTTCTTCTCTTCCCTGCAGGAGGCAAGGACCTGAAGGCCTTGAGTTGCCTCCGCTGCGGCAGACAGTTCACGGAGGCCTGGAAGCTGCTACGCCACGCCCAGTGGGACCACGGACTGTCCATCTACCAGACGGAGCCCGAGTCCCCGGAGGCCCCGCTGCTGGGCCTGGCTGAGGTGGCGGCGGCTGTGTCGGCAGTGATGGGGCCAGAAGCCGAGGCCAAGGGCCCCCGCGTGAGCAGCCTTGCCCGACGGAGCCCCACCTGCCCCGTGTGCACCAAGACCCTCAGCTCCTTCAGCAACCTCAAGGTGCACATGCGCTCGCACACGGGCGAGCGGCCCTACGCCTGCGACCAGTGCCCCTACGCCTGCGCCCAGAGCAGCAAGCTCAACCGCCACAAGAAGACCCACCGGCAGCTGCAGCCCCAGAGCCCCTGCAGGGCCGAGGGCAGCGAGGAACAGGCCTCCGCCGCCCCTCCGGAGCCCGCCGTCCACGCGGCCGCCCCGGCCAGCACCCTCCCGTGCAGCGGTGGGGAGGGGGCTGGGGCCGCCGCCACGGCAGGTGTCCAGGAGCCTGGGGCTCCCGGCGGCGGGGCTCAGGCGGGCCCTGGCGGGGATGGTTGGGGAGCTGCCACCAAAGAACAGAGAACTGACCCCGCCAAGAGCCAGAAGACATCACCCAAGAAGGAGTCGAAGCCGGTGGGCAAGAGCCGTGGGCCGGGGGGCAGCTGCGAGTTCTGCGGGAAGCACTTCACCAACAGCAGCAACCTCACGGTGCACCGGCGCTCACACACGGGCGAGCGGCCCTACGCTTGCCAGCTCTGCCCCTACGCCTGTGCCCAGAGCAGCAAGCTCAACCGCCACCTGCGCATGCACGGCCTGGGGCCCGGCGGCACCCGCTTCGAGTGCCCCCACTGCTGTGTGCCCTTTGGCCTGCGCGCCACCCTGGACAAACACCTGCAGCAGAAGCACCCCGAGGTGGCCGGGGAGGCCTGAGCAGCAGCAATGCCCTCTGCTGCCCCTGCGACTGTCACTTCTGTTGACTGCCTTGTTCTTCTCTCTGCTTCAAGTAAAGCCTCCCTCCCTCCCCCTAGTCACACACGGTTTGGAATCTGGCTTTCTTGGGGTGTCTGAGGTGGGGCGGGAGGCTGGCCTCCTTGGGGTGGACGGCTGGACAGACCGGTTTGGAATGTGGGGGTGAGGGGAAAGGCCAGCCCCCAGTGCCTGGGGCACAGCAAGACTGGCACAGAAAGCCGTGGTCCCGGTTCCCGGAGTGGGCGAGGCCAGGGCAGGGGCCGAGGCGAGGGTTGGGAGAGGCCTGGACCTGTCACCAGAGGCCCCTGGGCAAAGTCCTGGCCCGTCCTCCACATGCTGTGCTGGGCCCTTTTCCCACCGGATTGCACCCCTGCCCTCACGGAGCCACAGCCGGAGCGGTCCTGATCAACAGGAGCCGCCATGTAGACACGCAGACTGCGGGCAGACTTCCCACAGGGCAACGTGGCGCCTGCCCCCTGAACCCAACACGCTCCCTCCCAGCTGGCCCTGCTGTTGGTGGACACCCCCCCACGGACCACACTGAGGCCAGGTGAAGGGAATTAAATAACGTGATTTTATTTCATCCGAGAGAAAACCAGCAGCCTCACAGCTTGAGCCCTCACCCCGTCCCTCATCCCCTGGCCCCCAGGCTTCTGTCTAATGCCGGTAGTGGGGACTTCGGGACCGGGACCTTGAGCGCCTGGGGAGAGAAAGTGGAGGGGTCCCTGAGGGTTGGGCAGGAAGCAGGGTGCCCTGCCCCATGCACTCCTGTGCACATGCACCAACACGCTTGGGGATCACTGGGGCTTCCGCGATCAAAGGATGAGGCCCCCTACAACTGGCGGGGTGCAGGGTGGGGACCTCCCGCCAGAGAACAGCTAACTTCCCAGGGAGCTGGGCTGGCCTGCTTACCTTCGGGAGGAGCTGTATTCTCGACCTGGAAAGAAAGGAGGAGGTGACGACAGAGTGAGTGCCCAGGGCCAGGAGCGGGCCCTGGCCTGGGCGGCTGCTGGTGTCCACAGCTGAGGCTGCACGCGAGCGTCCACCAGTCCACTGCCCGGACAGGCACCCGCGCCCCTCAGCCCATGCCACTGCCCTGGGAACGAGCATTTCTCCTAACGCCTGCAGTTCCCGTGTGACTGAAGCACTCGTGCATGCACACATGTGCACGCGTCTCCAGCCCGGCTCTCCCATCAGGGAGGGTGGGGACACTCACTGTAACGGGGGGAGGGCGAGCGGCTCTGCCGGCTGTACTGGCGTTCCCATTCCTCTCTCTCCTTCTCTCGGCGTTCCCGCTCCCTGCAGGGGAAAAGGGGGAAGGGTGACCACGCAGCGGGGTCCCCTGCCCAGGGCTCATGCTTCCAACATCCTCATCCCAGCAGGAGAGGAGACCTAGCGGGTGGGCGCTGCGGCCACCCAAGCTTGGAGGTGAGGACACAGCGCAGAGCGGGGTCGGAATCCCAGCCTGCCTCTGTGAAAGGCTCGCTGAGCACAGAGGAGAGCTGGACAGTTCGCTCATTTCCCGTCAAACTTGGGCGCAGTCTCAGGGCACAGGGACTTACACGTTACGTGCTTAATTGGCCTTTGTCAAATGACCAGATTTGCAACCCCAGCGGCTACATTTATCGGGCGCCTTCTCTGTGCCTGGCCCTGATCTCGCTGCATCTCCCAACGAGGCTGTCAGGTGGGACAACTAGTCCACCCCGTGTAGCAGATGAGGAAACTGAGCTGAGGCAGGAGAAAGGCCCATGGCTGGGGGCGCCGCGGGCGGCATCAGAACACGGCCTGACTGACCGCCACGCCGCGTCCCGGGGCGCTGCGCTCCTCCCTCCTGATGGAAGCACACAGCAGCAGACGGGTGTGCGATCAACGATAACACCCCACAGCAGCAGCAGCTCTGGGCATCGAGCCTCCCGCATGCCAGGCCCCACGCTGGGGCCTTAAGGCAGGGCCCTGCAGAGGCGGGTACCTTATTACCTCTGTCTCACAGAGAAAGGAGTCGGGCTCTGAAAGGTTCAGCTGCTGTCCGAGGACCCGCAGCAAGTACGGGGTGGAAGGAAAAATGAGTAACAGATGACACGGCCTGTCACTGACTGACCCCCTCCTGGCCAACACTGAGCACTATGGGCTCCAGTTCCGCCCACAGGCCCTGGGTGGGCCAGGGCCTCACAGGCGCAAATCCCCAAGCTACCCTGGGAGGTTGGCACCGAGAGGGCCACACAGAGGGAGGCAGAGCTGACAGTGGACCCCAAGTCAGTCTGACCCAGGCCCCGAGCTACTCGGCTCTGCAGTGCAGAACGGGGAGGGGAGGAGAGGAGAGGGGGAGGAGAAGGGAGAGAACAGAAGCCCTGACCCCACTGGGCCAGAGCCTGCCCCGGGGCTGCCGGGAGTTCAGTCGTTCCAGAACATTCACGGAGCACCAGCTCAGTGCTCCCGGGGCTCAGCATGGCAGGCGGCCGGCAGCCAGCCCTGCCATCTCCGTGGGGACCCCAACAGTGAACGAGTAAACGACACAGACAGTGCAGGCCAGGGAGGGTCGGTGCTATGAGGAAAATGGAGCGGGCTGGAGGACAGAGCGTGCCGGGTGCTACTCTAGACCAGGTCAGGGAGGCCTGGCGGGAGGAGCAGGCTGGGGAATCTGCGGAAGAGTGTCCTGGGCCCAGAGAACAAAGGCAAGGCGGGTTGAGGCTGGAAGAGCAGGGAAGAGAGAGGAGGCAGGGCCAGCGCGGGGGCGCGCCCTGAGGCAGGCAGGTGCTCGAGGGCTCAGGCAGGCTCCAGCCAGGAGCCCGGTGGGGGGGGCGGGGCAGGCAGCCCTGAGGCAGGCGGCTGTGGCCCCCATACAGGGAGCGGGGGACGGTCTTACTTCATCCGGATCTTGCGGGCCATGGCGCGAAGCTCGTCTTCCCGCTCCTGCGACAGAGACAGAGCCAGAGCCGGCTGTGAGAGCGCACAGCCTGAGGGCCCCACCCGAGCCCCACCCCGCCCACCCTTACCTGGCGCTCGTGCTCCTGCTGTATCATCTTCTCCTGAGCCGCCTTCTTATCCGCCTTGACTGTGGGGAGGGAGGAACATGGTGGCTGAGGGGAGCCCTCGAGAGACCCCCAGACGCAGAAGCTGAGCTCAGAGAGGCCAACCAGACCGCCAAGGCCCTCAGCACAGTGGCCAAAGAGTGGGTGCACAGCCCTCCTCCCCAGGTGCCTTGCGTGCACGCAGGCCTGTCCAGGAGAGCGCAGCCACCCAGGGCCAGGCTGGGAGGAGAGCAGCCGGGAGAAGGGGTCGGGGAGGGGCATACACTGCCTGTTCAGCGCCTTCTGCATCCTCAGCTTCAGCTTCTCCTGCGGCGTCAGCTTGGGCTGGGGAAGGGGAGCAGAGGCGGGAGAGGGGGTGGGTGTCCGGAGCTCCCACCACCCACCTCTCCAAGAGCCTGGGACTTGCGGGGGAACGTGGGAGGAGGGGCAGGCTGCAGACACCCGCCACAAGGGTGTGGGAGGCCCCGGGACAGTTGGAGCCCCAGTGGACAGTGAGGAGGGGAGGGAGACACGGCTCTCGTGGGGCCAGAGCCCGCCCAGCCCCCTCGATCCCCGGGGCTGGGTCTCTCGGCCCACCCGGGGCCCCCCTGCAGGCCCACCGGGCCCAGCTCTCGGGCACTGCTGCTGGCGGGAATTAGACGGGCGAGTTCCAAATTCTTACTGACTTTGGCAGCTCCTGTCTCTTTACCAGCGGCAGGCTCGGTCCTGGGAGAAGAAAAAGGTAGCTGCCACCGTGACCCCATGCAGCCTCAGCACCCCCTCGGACCAGAGAGCCTAGGTCACAAGCCTCAGACAGCCCAAGGAGAGACCACGCCTTCTGGGATCCCTCAGGACAGGGCCGTGTCCGCCTCTGACCACCCAGGGCAGAGCTCTGTCCCCTCAGACCCACTCTCCCAGGTCAGGGCCGTGACCCCAGACCCCCCAGGGTGAAGCTGTGTCCCCGTGAGATCCACTCTCCCAGGTCAGGGCCAATTCCCCTAGACGCCGCAGGGCAGGAATAAGTCCTCTTGCAAAGAGAACAGTGGGGTCGCCCTGCTCAGCTGAGGCCGACAACCCTCTTCCCACATCCTTGCCCCTGCTCACTTTTTCAGCTTCTCGCCCACAGCCGGGGACGCCGCCGGCCTGGTCAGCTTCTCCCTGGGGGGTGATGGCGAGTGACTCTGGCTGCGGCTACGGCTGCGGCTCTGGCTGCGGCTGCGGCTCTGGCTGGGGCTGCGGCTCCGAGTCAGGCTGCGACTGCGGGACGGGCTGAGGGACCAGCTGCTGCGGCTGCGGCTACTGCTGTGGTGCCGGGGGCCCCGGCCGCCCCGCCTGTAGCGGTCCCCTGAGCGGGAGCGGCTCCTGGGGGCACAGGGGACAGGAGTGGGGCCGTGAAGCTCCAGCGCACTCGGTTGCACACCCCTCACCCTCGCTCGGAACCTGCAGGCCTCCTTCAGGGCCCTGTGGTGGGTCCGGGAATGACTCTCCACCCCTCTCCTGCCACTTGCCGCAGGAATCCCCCTGGCCACTCCCTGGCCTCGCTCAGTCCCTCCGCAGAGACCACCCTCTAGATACAACCGCCCTGAGACGGCTCCTGACTCCTCACTCACCAGACACCCATTCACCCCCTTCCCTAGGCGCTGACTTTGGAGAGGGTGGGGCCTGGCTGGTCGGCTCCCCCCTTGACATGCTGTGCCCCGCTCCGGGCACCCAGGAGGCGGAAGCTCATCTTCACCCGCACCACCTCCTCACCTCGCAGGAGTCCAGGGTCTCAACGCCAGTGGGGCCCACCCCCTCGCCCCAGTCCCCACCAGTCTGCAGCAGAGACCCAGCAGGCCCAGCCTGGGACATGCAGCCCCACTGTTTCTCTGCTCAGGACCCCGGGGGTCCGCAGCAAGGGCTCACCACCAGGCCGGCATTCAGGTTGTGACCAGGCCCCCTCACTCCCCCAGCCTTTCTCTTGCCCTCACCCTGGATCGGGCTACAAGGGAATAACCTGGAACCAAATCTGGGCCACACACTGATCCTGTCAGGGCTGTCCCAGGTTTTCACAACATCCAAGTTTGTTGACAATATTGAGAAAATAAGAGCCGTCCTTTAAAAATCCAGACTCTCAACTTCGCTCAAGAAACCAGAAGACTGGGCAACACTGGCCTGCCACCAAGTGGCCAGTGACCCCATCGCGTGCTCCCCAGGGCCCACCTGGCCCCTCTATTTTACCTGCCAGACCCCCTGGGTTGCTGATGTTGGATCCAGGCCACAACGACACAGGTAATGATGCTGACAACACAGCACCTACCAACTGCGGGGCCCTGTGCTAAGCACTCACAAGGGTTTACTTATCAACCTCCAAAGCCACGCAATGGAGGCAATGCTACCTCTGTCTTACAGACGGAGAAATGAGGCCCCGAAGGTTCCTTAGCAGGCCTGGAATTGACACCCAGGCAGCCGCTCTGCGGTCCACGCTGCGTTCCCATGAGCAGCCCTGACCCCCTGGGGAAGAGGCTAGGAAGAATGTCCCAGGCCCTAGACGCTTTATTTCCTCCCCATCTGCAGAGCTCGCCTCAAACCCTGCCTCCTCTGCAAAGGGTGGCCTTGACTTTTCTGTCCCCTGCCAACCCCTACTCGTGAGTGCACGAGACGTCTCCCCATGGAGTGCCCCAGCCCTAAGGCCGGTCTCCCCGCACACCACACGACACCTGGAGCGTCCATGCACCCCCTGCCCCTCGGCCTGGGACCCCCAGTGAGGAGAGCAGCTCAGTCTCCTGCCCCACTGTACCCCTGAGATGTGACTGTGCCCCACCTCATGTCACCACGCCTGGAGCTCCCTCAGAGCGGGACACCTCCCCTGCCAACCTCGTGCTTCCTCACAAAAGGGCATCGGCCCGCTCTCTTCCCTCGGAGCCTGGTGAGCTGAGATGGAGCCCTGCCCACGTCCAGGTCCCCCACCCCCTGCACACCCGGCCACACACACCTGCTTCTGCGCCGGGGCCCGTAGCCGCCACGCCGGGCAGGCGAGCGCGAGTAGCGGGGTCCGTCCCGGGAGCCCCCGCACGAGTGGCGCCGACCGCCGCTGCGGGACCGAGAGTAGCGCCGGGAGCGGGAGCGGGAGCGGGACCAGGAGCGGGAGCGGGAGCGGGCGTGGCGGCCGGAGCGGTAGTAGCCCCCGCCGCGGCGGGAGCGGGAGCTGGAACGGGAGCTGGAGCGGGAGCTGGTAGTCCTCGAGGCAGAGGAGGAGGAGGAAGAGGAAGAGGAGCGGCGGCTGCAGGCGGGGCACGGGGGGCCGGTCAGTGCCGGCCTGGGCCGAGGCCCCCCACTGCCCCGGGTCCCCCCCACGGTGGCCAGGGCCTAGGGCGGGCAGCGTGAGCGTTACCGACCGGGCGCTGGCATTACGTCCCGGTGCGGGGCCGCCAGGCTGGGGGGGTGCGGGGGGCTTCCCTGTGGCGGCCCCTGATGCGGCTGCGGCAGCCGCGGCTGCGGCGGCCTCCTCGTCGCTGCCCCCAAAACTGGTGATGAACGTGATCTTCTCCTCGCGGCCCGGGGTCGGGGAGCGGGAGCGGGAGCGGGACTCAGAGCTGGATTCGGAGGGTGACCTGCAGATTTGGGCGGGGGGGAGGAGGGGCTCAACCTCGAGCCTGTCTCCCAAAGGACCACAAACACGGCAGAGCGACACACATTCGAACAGTGTGGCCCCGAGCAAGAGCCGACACCAGCACAAATGACAGAGCCCAAGGGCAGCCAGCCAGCCAGCCAGCCAGCGACACAGGGTCTGATTCATGACCATGGGGCCTGTTCAAAATTCCGACGAACGGGACTGACAGAGAACTGTACTGATTTTACGACGCTATTAAAGAGGGATGAGCAGATCTATATACCTAATGTGGAAAAATTTCCTCAATACATATGTCAAGTAGGGGGAAAAAAAGAAAGTTCTAAATATGAAGTGTGGTACAATCCCATTTTTGTAACACAAAACCCTGACACCCCTCACAGCTCCCGTGTCTTGAGCACTAACCTGCGCCACACATCCCACCCAAGGGGATAGGCCTCACCCCACCCTCCCCCAGGAGCCCTGAGGGCAGGCCCCTCCAGCCCATTCTGAAGGGGAACTGGGGTCAGACTGAGGTCTGCCCCCTCTCCAAGCCCCGGCCCAACCCCACCACACCTGGGAGACACACGTGTGCAAGGCTGGGCCATTTCACGCCTGTTATTTCTGGGACTTCAGATTAAAGGGACTTTTGCTGTCTAAGTCACACCTTTCTGCCATGTTTGGTCATTTTTAACACAAGACTGCATTACATTTGAATCAGAAAATTAAAGGAGGTCCACATTTAAAAAAAAAAAGATTGGAAAACAGAAACCTGATTCAGACCCACAGCTGACACCGGGTGCTAAGACCCCAGGACACCGTCACCCGGTCCGTGATCTCAGGGAGGCCTACGGGGCGACCCCTCCACCCCCTCACCACCACCATCAGCTCCCTGGGCCCCTGGAACTCACCGCTTATAGGGGTCGTAGGTGGGGCTGTCTCGGCGGGCATAGCTATGGAGAAGAACAGAACAAGTGGGGCCTGGGATCCGAGCAGGCACGGAAGCACCAGGCGCGGGAGGAGGGGGCTGCCGGCCAGGTTACCGGCCGGCCTTGATCCCTCCACCTGCCCCGCCTCTCATCTGTCCAAAGCCTGAACCCTGGCCCCACCCCACAAACCATGTCCCAGACCCATCCTGACGCTGAGCTACAAGGACCTCAGCAGCCTTCGTCCTGCTTTGCCTCCAGACCCCAGACCGGAAGCACCCCTCCTTACACTCAAGGCCCTCGGGTCTGCTAAGTGGTCCTGGCTTACTGATGATGACGATGATAAGACTAGAAGAGCTAACAGGTCCGAGATGCTTGCTGTGTGCCAGGCCCTAAGGGCTACACTTGGACGAGCTCAACTGCTCTTCCTGACAACTCTGACGTGGGCACTATGACTATTCACACTTCACAGCTGAGAAAACTGAGGCCCAGAGAGGGGAAGTCACTTGCCCAGGGTCACACAGCTCATAAACGAAGAAGCCAGATTCCAACCCAGGCCATGCGGCCCTGACCCCATGCTTTCACACACTACACTGACTTGTGCCTCCATGGCGAAGAAGACAACGGCAAGAATCAGCGCAACTCCTTAAGGAACAGTTTCCAGACCCCGTACCAAACCCTGAACCTATGGCGGGTTGTTTAAGCCTCACAGCAACCCTCAACTACTCTCCTTGAACAGAGAAGGTATGGCAAAAAGAGGCCTGGGTTGGCACAGGGCCGCCAGTCTCAGAGGCTGCGGCAGGCTCTCCTCAAGGTTGCTCTCCACCCCACACAGCCTGCCTCATCTGAACGTGCCCAGGTCCTCGCTGTGGACATGGCACACCCCCCTCCCGGGAGGGAACGGTGCCCCTTTTCCAAAGAAGGAGACTGAAGCTCGAGAGAGGACCTCACTTGCCCAAACCCTGACACCAGGAAGTGGTCAAGCAGCAAAACCAGGTCGGAGTGCAGGGCCAGGCCCATGCCTCTCGACTCTGCCCTCAACTCTTCCAGCCCCCAACGCCGGCCCCCTGGCTCCCGGGGAGGCTGGCAATGGCCCGAGTCCAGCAGGGTGACGGAGCAGCTGGCAGGGCACGGTGTCCACATACCCCACAGCCATTCCTCCTCTAACCCTCCCCATTCAACACCCGAGAGGACTCTCTCTGCAAGCCAGACACCTGCCCCCGAAGAATCTTCCTGAGCCCCAGAGTCCTCCACCAGAGCCTGAAAGACTGACGTGGGCAGGGTGGGGCACGGGGGAAGCCGACCTACCTGGGTGGGCTGATCTTGCGGCCTCTCAGCCGCTTCTCCCGGAACTCCCTCCGCTGGCGCCGGGAGCGCCGGCCCTGGAGTGGGGTGGAGACCAGGCCGGTGAGCGGGGTCCTCCCTGAGGCACGCCCCCGCCCCTGCCCCAGCCCAGGCCTCACCGAGTACATGGCCTTCTCCTCCTCAAGGGCCTTGGCATGCTTGATGGCCTCCGCCTCCTCTTTGTCTTTCCGGAGCATCCTGTGGTGGGAGACAAGGGTCACGATGGAGGAGGGGCAGGCCACAGGCAGAGTCGTCGCAGGAGGACCCCATCCTGGGGTCTCTCATCTGTTCAGCACTATTATTGAGCACCTACTGCATGCCGGGTGCTATTTTAGGTACTGGGGACTCAGTATTGAAAAACAAAAATTCCTCACTCTCGTGGGCTTACATTCTGGGTAGCACACAGACAATGACCAATGGAATGTACCATGTGGTAGGCTAGTGAAAACCTCGACGGGAGAGTAAGTCACGGAAGGGGAAGGGAGTGCAGGGCACAGGCAGAGGCTGCTGAGCTGTCAGCAGGGAGGTCAGGGCAGCCACACAGAGAAAGCGACAGCTGGGGAGTGAGCTGCACAGACACGCAGAGCCAACAGCACAGAGTGGCCCAGAGGTCAGATGGGGCCTCGAGCACTTGAGGAGTAAGGAGGCAGTGGAGGCCGGGCGGTGGGGGGCAGAGAACAGGCGGCTAAGACCTTGAGGCCATGGCGAGGACGCTGGCTGCTCCTGAGGGAGGGAGGAGCCACAGAGGGTTCTGAGGAGAGGGTGCTGTGTTCAGAGGTCTGTTAACCAAGACTATTCTATGTGCTCTGCATGGGGCGTGACACAAGGCAGAGGCTCAACCAGCAACTGCGAGTGAATGAGCCAGTAAAGGCAGCCTCTCCACTAGAGGGTGCTGTCCACCAGGCCGGGAACCTGGGCGCTTCCAGGGGTCAGATCCCACAGGTCACACAGAGCTGGGTGGTGGCCTGAGTTTCTGCACAGGCAAAGCAGCTCATAAGTACCCACCCCATGAGCTCGGGAGCCCGTGTGTGTGAAACCCTCCACGCAGGGCCCGGCACACGAGTGCTCAGAGCAGGGTGGCCGTCAGTACTTGGGGGAGGGACAGAGACACCAGGTCCACAGAGCGGGGAGGGGTGCCAGCCAGCAGGCCTCACCTGACGAAGTCGCCATCAGCCATGCCATAGGTCGTGGCCTGTTTGTTGAGGTCGGCCACCTGCTCCTGGTTCAGTTCGTCCACATCCACCTCCACGTCTGCACCAAGAGAAAGGCTGTCAGGGGCCAAAGCTGAGCGAGGACAGGGGAAGAGGGGCAGTGCCCCAGGAGGTGAGGCGGGGGGCGCCCGCCAGACTGAGGCCTCTGCAGGGGGGAATGAGTCAGCTCATCTCGGCATCCCCAGGCCAGCACAGGGCTTGGCCAGAGGCAAGTACAACCAACAGCAGGGGCTGCGGGGTGGGGGGTGGTGTGATGGATGAGGGGCCAGTGAGCGGGCGGTGGGGTAGATGAGCAAGGCGAGTGGAGGGAGCGATGCGAGAGGGAGGAGTGAGTGGGGGACAGACAGAGGAGGTGGATGAAGACCCAGGGTGGGAGGCGGGGGTGTGGACACAGTTGTTTGGGAGCCTGACGAGTGTGAAGAATAAGTGGAGGGGGAGCCGGCCCGGTGGCGTAGCGGTTAAGTGCGCGCACTCTGCTGCTGGACTGGAGGCCCGGGTTCGGATCCCGGGCGTACACCGATGCACCACTTGTCAGGCCATGCTGAGGCCACGTCCCATATAAAGTGAAGGAAGATGGGCACGGATGCTAGCCCAGGGCCGGTCTTCCTCAGCAAAAAAAAAAAGAGGAGGATTGACATGGATGGTAGCTCAGGGCCAATCTTCCTCACAAAAAAATAAATAAATAAATGGAGGGCGGGACGGACGCTCTACATATGTATGAATCAGGAGCCAGCTGGCTGCTGAGTGGGAGGCAGGTGGCGGGTGGATGGTTTGATCAATGGGTATTTAGGTAGCAGCAAACTAACAGCAGGGAGGGGATGAGGGATGGCTCTGTAACTGGATGAACACTTGTTTTCCAGAGAGAGAAGGAGGAGAGACAGAGAGCCTGCGCAGGCAGAAGAGCATGGAGCCAGAACCTAGGTGGGGATAGTATCACAAAAGCATTGTCCTAGAAGTGAGAAAGGGGAGAGGGACACAGAGGGAGGCCGGGAGCAGAGGAGCACATGAAGGAGACAGGGAGGACCGCAGGAGGCTGGACTGCCCCGGAGCAGGGGCGGGACGAGACACGGAAACGATGCCCAGGGACTGCGGGGGGGGGGAGGGCAGAGAGGGGACCCCACCGATGTCGGGGATGACCTCATCTTCGTCCGAGTTGCTCTCCTCCTCAGCTGGCGACTCCTCCTCCTCTGGCTTCTCCACCACCTTCTCCACCTCAGCCACCGTGCTGTCCTCGTAGGTGTAGCCAATGGAAGCCTTCTTCTCTGCCAGCCTGGGACGGGGGAGCCCGTGAGCCAGTGCAGTGCCCAGGGGAGAGGAAGGCCGCAGGCAGGACACACCCCACGGCCGAGCCTCGAAGGCCCGCACACGGAGTTCCCCACGCAGCAGCCTCTGGAGTTCCACGGCAGCATGGCGCCCTCACCTCCAGGCTCCCCCCACTCTCCCTCAGCCTAGAACCCTCTGCGGCACCTCCACCGGCTCCTCCCTCTTCCTCCAGGCTCCAATGCCCCCTTTTCCAGGAAGTCCTCCGAGTGGGGTCAAACACCATCCTGAGCTCCCAGCCCCACCCATGTTGGGTCATTACTGTCGGGGACAGGTCTGTCTCCCCCACCAGACTATGAGTCCCAGGAGGGCAGGGCCCAGATTTATCTTGGGTAACGACATGGCCCAGCTTTGCCCAGAACAGAGCGGGGGCCTAGTGTACGTCCACTGCTGAATTAACTTAGTCACATTCCCTGTCCCTGAAAGTGGGGTCTGGGATAAGGACCAGAGTCGCGGATCAAGGACCAAGAAGCTCCCAGTCACGTCCGTGGAAACTTGAGATGGAGGAAAGGAGGAGACACTTAGGATCCCAAAGGGGGAGCCTCAGCAGCAGGAGGAAGGAGTCAGGGCCCCAGGACCACTGCAGAACACGTGGAACAGCGGTGCTCTGGAGGAGGTGAAGGCCGTCCCCAGCAGGGGGAACAGCATGTGCCAAGGCAGAGAGGGAGCACGTCTGGCCAGACCGGGGTGGAGAAGAGAAGCGAGACTGCCCCACTGCTGCTCTTCCGAGATGCAGACGGGGTTCTCCCTGCACCGGAGGCTGCTCCCAGGGGAGGCCCCACATCTCCCAGCCACTCCTCAAGGGACACAGCCTTGAGCAGCCCTCTCCAGAGTGACAGCTGCTGCTGACTGCAAGCTGACCGCCCGCAGGCCCAAGACAAGACTTTACACTTAAGTTCCATCCCCTGTGGTCCGTGGAGCTCCAGGCAGAGGGGACTCCTGCCAGCCCGTCTCAAAGGGGAGCACCCAGGCTCAGAGAGGGCAGGCCTGTCTCCCTGGGGGCCTGCTCTCACGGCACCTCCCACCACTCTCAAGTTGAAAACACACTGTAGAGGGGCCCGCCCCGTGGCTTAGCGGTTAAGTGCGCGTGCTCCGCTGCTGGCGGCCCGGGTTCAGATCCCGGGCGCGCACCGACACACCGCGTCTCCGGCTATGCTGAGGCTGTGTCCCACATACAGCAACTAGAAGGATGTGCAACTATGACACACAACTAGCTACTGGGGCTTTGGGGGAAAAATAAATAAATAAATAAAATAAAATAAAATAAAACACACTGTAGAGGTTTCTCAGAAACCCTTCCCCTCTGGCCACTGTGTCCTCCTCTAACCATTTATTAAGTGAGCGCCTATTGTGAGCCAACACCGGCTCCAGCTTGGGGAGACCACAGTGACAGGACAGACAGGCCATGCCCTAGGGGCTCGCAGTCCTCCTGCCTCACTGAGCCCGCCGTGCCCCAGACCCAACTCACTTCTTCTTCTCGTCCTCACTGGGTCTCTGCAGGCCTCCGTACAGCTCGTCAATGTAGATCTGGTACAGGCACTGCTCCTCCGAGACTGCTCAGGGCAACAGGCATGAGGGTCAGAGTGGGGCGGGGACACTGGGAATTCCGGGGGGGACATGAGAATGCAGTAGGGCAGGAGAGTGGCTGTAACCCAACTGCAGCTGGGGACAGGGTCACCGATTTCCTGACAATCACAAACTGCAGGAGGGCCCTGGCTCCACCACTGACTTGCCATGCAACTCTGGTCACGGGACTTAACCTCTGTGCCTCAGTTTCCTTTTCTGTAGAATGGGACCCCAGTAGAGTGAGCATTTGGTACTCGGGCTCCCAGTGGAAGGAGGCCTTTGGCTGGAGCCTCTGGAACCATACACCTATCCTGAGTGCTGGCCGTCCCCCGGACCCCATGGGCCACCCCACTGTGTGCCTCTCTGGCTCAGTTTCAAGTAAGTGGTTTGGGGCCACCTGGGCTCTCATTCACCCACAACAGCCAACTCAGGGGGCTCAGCAATGTACCAGAGCCCTCCCCAATCCTCCCCTCGTGAGACATGTGCCCCTGACTTGCCGTGGGCCCCTGGGCAAGTCCCCCTCCCTTCGTGAGCCTCCTTTTCTATCTATAGGGCGAGCTGGCTGGGCCAGGTGAGCCCAGAGGTGACACAGCAGGGCCCTCATGCTCCAGCAGCCATTCTGGTTCTGGCCCGCGGCTACAAAGCCCTGGAGGAGAGGGCCCTGCTGACCTGTCTCACACCAGCGGCCTCGCTCTCCCGGCCCCAGGCACACAGGCCTCCTCCCCCACAGGGCTGTTCTCGTGGCCGGGGGTCCTGCGGCATACCTCTCCCCACTGGGGCGCTGCTATGCACCCTTCACTGACCCAGCCTCAGTCTAGCGCCTCAGAGAACAGCGCACAGCCTGTCTGACTGCCTTAGTTGGTACTAACCATCCACTTTTGTGATTACGTGGCTACTGCTCTCTCCCCTCTAGACCCCTGATCCCACAACAGCACCTGACACACCACAGGTGCTCAGGAATTGTGGGGATGAATGGATAAACAGTCAGACAGAACGATGGGCCACTCTGGCTCCATCACCAGGAATCCACGTGGCCTTGGATGAAGGCAAGAACGACAGCATCAGTGATGATGACTCCCCTGATTCTAAGGCCTCACTGATGGCTAGAGTTCTGGCCACCTCTGACTTGAGAGGTGCTAAAACGCCTATCTCAGAAACAAAGAAATGTGGGAATAGTGACCCACAGGGAGGCCTACTGTGCCAGGCTCAGTGCCGGGGTGTTATGCAGCCCTCACTGAACCCTCACCACCACCTTCTCCAGAAGGGCACCGAGACCCACCAGGCTAAGGGACTCATGAGTGGCCCGCTCCCCCTAAACTGCACGGGGAAGCCCTGGGCGGGGGAGTCTCAGAGTCCTCGGCAGGCGAGCCGGAGTTTGGAGCCGTCCGTGAGGAGGCAGCAGTGGTTGAGAACACGGTGCTCCCCCCAAACCCTGAGCCTCAACATCCTCATCTGTAAAATGCGGTATCATCACCCCCAAGCCACTGGGTGGCTGTGCAGATGTAATGAGATAACACAGACAAAAGATCCCAAGTCTGTCGGGGTCCGAGCACCTCCCGGGGCAAGCCCAGAGTGGGGAAGGCCTCTCTGAGCCTCCGTTTTCTCATTTGTGAAGTGGCAATGGAGAAAAATCCAGGACATACATGAACACTTGGCAAATTGTCAAACTCTGTCTAAATATTCACTTAAATATCGTCTTCAGGGCTGACGTTCTGACCCATGCAAGCAGGGGAAAATGCACAGAGGAAAAAAGTATGTTCTTGCCATTTTCCCCAAATTTTTAGGAAAAAAGACCATCGAGTCAGAGGGCATGGGCTGTGGACGGGACCGTGGCAGGACCAGTGAGTTCAGCAGACAACTCCCATACCAAGTCCAGAGCTGGAGGCCCTGAGACAGAGAGGTGTGGACGGGGCAAGGCCATGACAGTGCTGGGACAAACGCAGGGTCCCTTAGGAGAAAGCACTGGGGGACACCTTCCTTCCCAAACGTGCCTAGTCTTCCCGTCTCCAGGGACCCCCAAACCCGCCCTCTACCCCGACCACTCACTGCCGGCAAAGTCGTTCTGCACCAGGCCACGGTAGCGCTCGTAGTTACACTTCCGCTCGTCCGACTCCTGCTCTGGGGAGCTTTGGGGAGGGCGAGGTCTTGAGATCAGAGGGAGAGGGCAGATCCCACCCAAGCCAGCAGGAGGGGGATGAGGGACCTGGCTCAGGTTGGAGGTGGGGGGACCCCCACTTGCACGCCTCCTTCCTTGTCAGGCAGGGGCCAGGCGGGGAAGGGCTCGGGAAAGAAGCGGTGCTGCTGGGTCGGACCCCCTCGCCTGGCAACCCCATGGGGAGGCGGCTTACATGGTGGTGAGCAGTGGGGGCGTGTAGTCGGGGATGTGGTCCAGGTGGGCGCGGACGTCGAAGCGGTCAATCATGTTGTTGGTGTCTCCCTGCCAGGGCATCCTGAAGTGGGGAGCAGGGGAGCAAGGAGCTTAGGGTCGCCACTGCCTAGGACACAAAGTGCCCGTTCCCTGCCACCTCAAGCTCGGGAGCCTGGCCCCCCACCCCCATCTGACCCCCATGCCAGGGCCTCCTCCCAACCCCCGCTCAATCCCTTATGCAGCAAGCCCCTGAATCCACATTCAGGGTCCTGGTCTGAATGGAGCCCCGGGAAAACTGAGGCCCTACTTCTCAGAACCAAGCAAGAGTGGGGAACTTGAACCAGGTCCTAGGGGCCACTTGCTCAGCCCCAGTCACATCAAAACATCCCCTCTGACAACCTACTCCCTGCTTCGTCTGGGCCTCTGGCCCCGGCCCCAGCCATTCCCCTCTAAGTCCCCCAACCACCACTGCCCCCTGGGGCCTCCATTTCAACCCCTGCCGGCTCTCCTCAGCCAGTGACTGTCACCTTCCCATGCAGGCCAACCCTTCCTTGCCTGAGTCCCTGAAGGTCTGTCCACACCCCACTCTCAGTCACAGACACCACCCTGCCCCCCCAAATTCAGTCTTACATGTTAACGGGGCTCTCGGCAGCCAGGGCGACTGCTGAATCCAGGTGCACCTTGCAAGCTCGGCCGTGCACCTGCAGGAACTGGGCCGGGTCCTTCTTCTGTAGGGACGGACAGGACGGCGGTCACCACCCAACTGAGCCCCAAGCCTGCCACCCCCCGCACCCCCAAGCTCAGCAGCGACTCACCTCTGATGTCAAGCGGGCCACACTTCAGAGGTAAACCAGCCCATACAGGGGTGGCGGCACTAATGGGGCCACCTAACCTCTGGGAACAAAGCGGTGCCAAGAGGCTCTCCGCCCGCACGGCCAGTACTGACACCTCCCTCCCTAAAACGTTACCCCCAGCTCATCACCCCACCCACCCCAGGGCTGCTCATTCAGAGCCCAGTGTGAACACATTCGCCTGGAGCGGCCTCTGAGACACCAGGCCTGCATAAGCACATGAGAAGATGATCATGTCACTGCTCCTCAGAGAAATACCCGTCAGAACCACCAGACAGCCGTCACACTCAGCAGGACGGCTAAAAGGGAAAGGACAGACAGCACAGAGCACTGACAAGAACGTGGAGAGAGGAGCTTCTTCAAACAGTTAAAGAAATGCCACCTGCCCCAGCAAGTCCACTCCTAGGTCTCTCCCCACAGACCTGAGAGCAGATCCTCCACACTGCACAAACGTTCCCAGCAGCGCTACGCACAAGAGCCCAAGGTGCAGCCACCCAAAGCTCCGACAGTGCACGACAGAGAAACAAAACGCGGTGCCGCCAGACAATGCAATACTGTTTGGCAATAAAAAGGAAGGGAGTACGATCCAGGCCACGACACGGATAAACCCTGAGAACACTATGCGAGGTGAAAGCAGCCAGGCACAGAAGGCCACATGGCGGATGATTCCATTAACGTGAGATGTCCAGAACTAGGAAACCCAGAAACAGAAAGCAGATGAGTGGTTACCCAGGCCTGAGAAGTTGGGGGGCGGGGAGCAAGGGGACTGACTGCTAATGGGTCCAGGGTTTCTTTTTGGGGTCATGAAAATTTTCTAAAATTAGATCGTGGGGACAGTTGCACAACCCTGTGGAAATACTGAAAACCACTGAATCGTACGGTATGTGAATTATATCTCAATAAGGCTGTTTAAAAAAAGGCACCAAGATGGAGACGAATGTCGCCTGAGTCTACGCCCCTCAGGCCTGAGCCCTCGGGGGTCACAATTCCCGGTCACCACAACCGCAGCAGGAGAGGATAAAATCCAGCAGCAGCTGCAGCTCCCACCGCTGAGCTTCCAAGTGCGGGCCCGGGCTGAGCTCCAGGTGCGTGCCACGTCAGGCACCCACAGGAGCCACGAGACGGGCTGCTGGTGCCGTCCACTAAATCCCGGCCAAGCGCCGGCAACGCCTCCCCAGAGTCCACCCCCACCCACCCCGGGTCCACCCAGCACCCCTCTCGCCTGCACCCCTGGCCAGCCTCCTTGCAGCTCCCCGCTGCCCCCGTGCCCTCTGCAGTCCATTCCCCACACAGCGGCTGGGGGTCCTGCTAAAACCTGTGAGGCCACGTCCCTCTCTGCCTTCTCTCCCCACTCTCTCCAGGCACCCCGGCCTCCACGACACGCCTCGAACACGCCGGGCCCGCCCCACGCTCCGCTCAGGACCTCTGCGCTTGCCCTTCCCTTGGCCTGCAACGCTCCTGTGTGTGGCTGCCCCTCACTTATTCCAGACTTCCTTCTGGAAGCCTTCCCTGTCAACTCTATCTAAGTGGCTCCCCCACCCCTCATGTCCTCTCACTCCTTAACCCCACCTGTTTTCCTCAGAGCACACCCCCCCAGTACCTGAGATTACACCTTACACCCACGGACCACCCGTCTCCCACACTGGAACGTAACCTCCGTGAGGCAGAGGGCTCTGCTCTGTTCCCTGTGGTATCCCCGGCACCTAGAACAGGCCTGGCCCGCAGCAGGCGGGCGCTAGGGGACACTGACTGAAGGAAGACAGGGTGACTTCTCACTGACACAGGGGGAGACAGAGCCCCTGCAGGAAAACCCGCCAGCTTCAGGTGTCCGAGAGCCTTCCCTTCCTCACTGTCCCCAAGTCCCACCCCAACCCCAGCCAGCAGATGAGCAGCCGTACCAGCCACCGCCAGGAGCTGAGCGGACACTCAGCAGTGACCACAGCCAATGTGGGGCCCCTGTCCACCCCGCGCCCCCCACGCGCCGGGTGCTGGCCGTCCTCATTCTCATCTCACACCTCTTGAAGAAGCTAGGGAGGACACCCCCCAGACCCAGGGGCCGGCCGGGGTCGCTGCTGGAACCCACTCCTCCCCCGCACCTCGCCCGCTGCCTCAGCGCCTCCTCTCAGGCCACACAGCTCCTGCAGCCCAGTGAGGGCCGCTGGCCAAGGCCCCCACCCCTGAGGCTGCTGGAGGCCCAGTGCCCAGCTCCCGCAGCCAGGAGTCATGGGACAGACTGCAAGTGGACTTTGGCCGGCACTGGCCCCACAGAGTGGAAACAGCCCTGGGCTGGGAGCACAAAGCTGAGCCCAGGGCCTGGCTCTGTGGGGAGATTCTGGAGAAGCAACGAACCGCAGTAAACCCCGGCACGAAACTACGTGTTCTATGTACATTTTTTCACTCAAACTTCTCACCCGTGGGAGCAAGGTGCTACTCTTAGCCCCCTGTTCCAGATGAGGAAACTGAGGCTCAGAGGGCCGAGGCCCACTTGCTCGAGATACACCAGCAACAAACAGAACCAGGATCTGAACCCAAACGGGCCTTACTCCAAAATCCACTCCTTTTTTTTTAAGAGTAATATTTTCTTATTATGGTAAAAGACATATGAAATTTACTATCTTAATCACTTTCAAGTGTTCATACAGTAGCTTTAACTACGTGCACCTTGTTGTGCAACAGACCTCTAGAACTTTTCCATCTTGCAAAACTGAAACTCTCTGCCCACTGAACAACAGCTCCTCTTTCCCGTCCCCACGGCCCCTGGCAACCCCCGTGCTATTTTCTGTTTCTACCGGCTTGACGACTTCAGATATCTCATATACCTGGAAACCCGCAGAATCTGTCTTTCTGTGACGGCCTCTTTCACTAGGCCTGATGTCCTCACCCTTCCTCCTTGTTACAACACGTGTCAGAATTTCCTTCCCTTTGAAGGCTGACTGACATCCCACCATACGGACATGCCGCGTCTTCTTTATCCATCCCTCAGTCCACTGACATTTAGTTTATTTCCACATCTTGGCTATTGTGAATAATATTGCAATGAACGTAGGTGTACAATCATCTCTTCAAGATCCCAAATCCATTCTTAACCACTGACTACTCGCCCTCCAAGATCAGACGGGTCAGAAGAGTTCACGGAGTCACTCATTCAGTCAGTCAGCCATTAAGCAGGCACCTGTGTGTGTCAGGGCCTGTGCTAGGGACACGGCAGTGACTGAGACAGCCAGCCCTGCCCTCACGGCTCACAGTCCAGTGTGGAAGAGAGAGCCGGCACACACAGGGATGACCCTGAGTCAGCAGCACTGGGATGGGGGACCTCAGGGGGATGCCTGTCTCAGCCTGGGGTGCAGAGTTGCCTGGGGCTGCCTGGAGGAAGAGACACCTCAATTGATTTAACCTATCTCCCACTTTCCTATCAACAGGGAATTCTGGTTTTTTACCCAAACCACTGATTAAAGAAGAAAAGTTGACTAGGCCAGGAGCAATGACAGAGTCAGGTCACCTAGGGAGAGAGAGCAGGCACCAAGGACAAATGAGGAGCAGAGAAGCCAGCTCTGTGTGGACACAGCCATTTGGCCACATCTACCTCAGCCTCTTCAACCCTCGCCCCACAGCCTCCTCTCTTGGCCCAAGAATGAGATGAGAGACCCTTGGTTGCAGCCCCGTCCCCTCCTCAAAACAAAGCGGCCATCAGCCCCTGCCCAGCCACTGTGCACAGCTTGGCGGCTCTGATTTGAATGCTGATCACGTCCAGGTCGGGGACAAGGGCTGCTTGTACAGGCCTGCGCCACGAAGCTCCCAAAGACACTGGTTCTCGTTCTTGCAGCCCTTCCCCGTCACCCAGTGAGAGCGGCTGGTCATCAGCACTGCCCCCAAAGGGAGAAGACAGCCTGGGGAGCTACCCCGCTCACAGAGATGAGAGCCTGGAGTCCCAGGCCCTGCGAGTGACCCAACTCCAGCCTTCCCTCCTCGACATCATCCACTGACCTGCATGCACATTCCAGCTCTACCCGGGAATAACTTCAACAACAGTAAGAGCCAGCATTTACTGAGCAAGGGACCGGGGCCGGCCTCCGCTCAGTGGTCTCCGTGCCCAGTTTCACTGAAGACTCCAAGGGCCCTGTGAGGGGGGGCTCTTGCCCCCACCACTGGTGGCAGACCATTAACTGGCAACCAACATCCATTCCCCCGCCTTCGACAGTAACAGGACTCCTAATACATCTGGCACAAAGCCACCCAGAACCAAGTCTACGCCTCAGCCTTCCTCGCAGCTGTATACAGGTGACCAGGGGACCAGTTTCTGGCCAGTGGAAATGAACGCAATTGTCACGGGCAAACATCTAGAAACTTCAACAACTGGCATGAGCACGTTGGCCCCTTTCCCTCCCTTCCTCCTCCCTGCTGGATGGAATGAAGACACAATGGCCAGAGCTTGAGCAGCCCTCCTAGACCTTGAGATGACACTGGGAAGGAAGCCACGTGCAGCTGAACAAGAAAATGGTCCCTGAGCAGCAGGGACCATCTCTGGACTTGTATGTGAAAAGGAAATGACGTTCTCTCTTGTTTAAGCCACTGAGGTTTTAGGTCTCTGTTACTCACAGCCAAACCTCATTCTACATGCCCCATCACTGCACACACAGAAGAAACCAGGCTCAGGTAGACAGCCACTCGCCCAAGGCCACACTGTATCTAAGAGGAAGAGCTGGAATTTGAACCCAGAGCCCCACAACTCCAAACTCTAAGCACCTAACCATTTTGGTATTTTGCTCCCATCTGTGTCACCTTGGACAACTTGCTGCACCTCTCTGAACTTCTATTTCTGCAGCAGAAAGCCCAAGTGAAAAGCTAAAGGAAGTCAAAGGTTGGAGAGTCTGGGTCAGAATGCCAGCGCTGCCCTCTTGCTATGTGACTGTAGGCCAGGACTCGCTGAGCCTCAGTTTGCTCGTCTGTAACATGGAGATAATAAGAAGCACCTCCCAGGCCGGGGTGAGGATGCGATGACGCGGAGAGGCATGTCCAGTGCTTGGCACAGTGGTTAATGCACAAATGCTCAATAGCGTTAGCTGCTATTATCAGCATCACCTCTACCACAGGGATCAACACCAACCCCGCCGGCCTGCTGAAAGGACTAGAAAGAATGTGCCCAAGCAGCGAGCACTGGGCCTGGCACACCACGGGCCCTTATAACAGGCAGCTACTCACTCCGGAGCACTGACTGTGTTCCTGGCCCACCGGTGGGGCCTCACCGATGACCCACACAGACCCAGGCCCCGTCTCTGTGGTCCTGCTGTAGTTATTCTCGCACCACCAGAGACAGCTCTCCCTCCAGCCCAGTGGTCCCTTGCTGGGTGACACAAGAAGGGAGGAGCTCTCAGAGATCCTTCTCCTGGGGTAAGAGCAGCCTCTGTCCCCTGGGTGACTACGGGGACTCAAAGAAATCATGCATCTAAAGCTCTTCTCACATAGCCTGGGCCCTGAGAAACATCAATTAAGATGGTAACTGCTATTGTTAATACTATTTTATTCCTCTATTCTTTCCAACCGTATTTATTGGGCCCAAGCTTGGGACGCAAATGTGACCCAAATACACCTCGCCCCCAGTCTTACAGAGCTGGATGTGTGTGTGTTAAATTCCACAAAGGGGAAGGACAGCATTTATAGGGGGACACCTGAGTATGGGGCCTGAAGGAAGACTTCCCTGAGGATTGAGATCTGACTGATGAGGAGGAGTTAAGCAGGTATGGGAGGAGCTCATGCAAAGGCCGTGTAGCTGGAGAGGGCTATATGATTCTGGGAGGTAAGCATACTCCTATACATCTTTTGGGTTAGAGAAAGTTGCCGTAGGAAGCAAGGAGGCCAGATGGCTTGAGCAAAGGGACGAGGTAGAGAGCAGGGTGGTGTGAGTCTGGAGCCGGGGCAAAAGCCAGACCATGCAGGGCCTTGAAGGCTGTGCTGAGGACCCTGGGCTTTCTCTCAAGGGCACTAGGGAGCCATGGAGGAGCTCTGAGCAACGGAAGGACACGTCAGCTTTGTGCTTTAGAAAGACCTCTCTGGCCCCCTTGAGGAGGGGAGATTGAGGCATGACTGGACACTGGGACAACAGTGCAGGAGTAAACGGGAACATCTATATAAATATCATCTACCCGGAGAACACACCCTAGTAAACGAGTGTCATTGCAAGCTGGGGTCTCACGAACAGGGAGGAGTTAAACAGGTGAGAGGAGACAGTACAGGCACAGTGCCCTGTGGTGGCACAGATGCAAAGAAGGACAACAGAGCCGCCCAGGGACGACGCTGAGATGCTGGTAGAGGCCAGAACATAAGGACCTTTTAGGTCACGGGACAGAGTTCAGTCTTCTCTCCAAAAGCAACGGAAGCATCAAAGCATCAAACAGGAGAGGGAAGCGGTCAGCGTTCACCTAATGAACACCGACGGCACTCCTACAGGGTGCCCAGCCAAACCCCACGACGACTGAGCTCTGCTAGGCACTGTGATCACAGCAATAAGCAAGACAGACAACGTTCTAGAGGCCAGTCTGTCTGGCCTGCTCTGAGTGTGACAATGACCTTCCCCCTTCCTGCTAACACCAGCTCTGCACTCTGAGGCCACACCAAACAACACGGGAGGCTGCGACAAACAGAATGCCTCGGGTGGTCACCAGTGATTATGCTCAAGAAATGAATGAGCAGTCTCCTGAGGAAACAGGGCTCTTGCCTCCGCATATTGCCCAGCCCAGATTTTCCCAGGGTGACCTGGGCCCCACCTTCGGGGGAGCCCCCACCTCCGATGAAAGGCCCGGTACTCACGATCTTTTCATAGTACTCGCGCCTCCGCTCCGCCCTCTTCTTGTAGTCCACCATCATGCCTCGAAGCTTCCGCTCATGCTTCCGAGCCTCGTGCCACATCGTGGTGAGGCCAAGCCTGGGGCCTCCACCTGGGGGACGAGGGGAGGGGAGGGGAGAGTCAGACGGGCTGTAAAAACCATATGGGCAGAACCAAAGTCACCTAACAAGTTGGTGACAGAGCGGATCCTAAATGCCGGCCTCAGGGACGGGAAGTGAGGCTGAGGCTGCAGAACTGCACGCCAGATGCTCAGCAGGATCCCTGACGTCTCTAATTCCGAAAATTCCCCCGGGGGATTCTGGAGTGAGCATCCCCGGGAAAGGAGGCTCCTGGGCTCAAGGAGCTGGAATCCAGGATGAAAAGTTTTGGAATGGATGGAGTGAGCGTTTGAAGATCTGGAGGCAGCTGGGGCCGTCGCTCAAGGGAAGCGGAGGAGCTGAGCGGCTCCCACCCGGGGCCATCCGACGGGGTGGGAATGGGTTGCGGGGGAATGCAAATGAAGGCAAATGGAGGAAGAGGACGAAGGCTTTACGGGAACAGAGTAGTGGCACGTAGGTGGGGGTTGAGGGCAGGTGAAGGGCGCGGAGGGAAAACGACAACGCTTGGGGGAGGAGGGGGAACATGGGGCAGCGCCGCAAAGAAAGACCAGAACGGGGCTGAGGTCCAAAGAACGAATCTGAAGGCGGGGAAGGGAGCACAGGCTGGGGGGAGGCGGAGCTGGCAGGCGGGGGGGTGGGGGGGTGCTGAGTTTAGGGGCCAGGCTTGTGGACAGGGGCGGAGCACGAGGGTTTAGCAGGGCCCGAGGACCGGGTCCGGGCCGGAGGGCTCGGGCTGCTGCTTTAACAAGGGGGCGGGGACCGCGGCAGGCGGCGGGGTCTACGCCGCGAGTTCGGGCCCGCAGCGGCGGCAGGGGCGCGGCCTGACGGTGGTGCCCGGGTGTGGGCGGGGCTCGCGGTGGGGCGGGGCTGGAGGGTAGAGCATGGATTGGTCGGGACTCGCGGCAGGGGCGCGGCCTGACGGTGGTGCCCGGGTGTGGGCGGGGCTCGCGGTGGGGCGGGGCTGGAGGGTAGAGCATGGATTGGTCGGGACTCGCGGCAGGGGCGCGGCCTGAGGCGCGCAGGCCGGAGGGGGTGCGGGGCGCGCGGCCGTCGGGGCCGGGGCCGAGCGGAGGCTCGCAGCAGCCCGGGGAGAGGCAGAGGCACGGACGAAGCCGGGCTGACGCCCCCCCGAAGGCCAGGAGGTCGGGGCCAGCCACCCGCACTCACCGGCTCGTCGCCGCCTCCCACCGCTGCGCCCGCGCGCCGCCCGCACCGGAAGCGGAAGTGGGAGGCCGCGCGAAGGGGGACTGAGCGCGCTTCCGCCGACGCGGGGGGCGTGGCCTGGTGGAGGGGCGTGGCCGGGAGGAGGGAACGGTGGCGCGGAGGAGATTCTGGAGCGTCCGTGCGCGCGGGCCTGCGGTGTTCCCCCAGCGGAGAAGAGACGGGACTCCCAAGGCTCAAAAACTCATCTTTATTAGGAAGACTCTGAACAAACAACCCACCCCCACCGTCAGGCCTGGGGAAGGAGGGCCGCGGCTCTGTACCCTCCTCCCGTCTGTACACTTTTTAGAATCCGTCTGGAGAAGGTGCCCCTCGGTTGTCGGGCGAGGCGGCTTTCACAAGCTGGGGCATGGGCGCCACGCCCCTTCCCCCCCTCTCCGGACTCAGTTTTCTCATTTGTAAAATGGGCTCACGGGAAACCCGTGCTACGGAGCTTCTCGCCAGCGCTGAAGATGTCCAAGTGAGAAGGATGAGGAGGTCGGGAGACGGACTGGGGGCGGCCCAAGGGGATGCGGGTGCTGGACATCCCGGCTGGGTCCGCAAGGCCCCTTCCACCTCCCTCCCCACCCAGCGCCTCTCCTCTGCGCCCGCGGGGGCTACGTGGCCTCAGGCCCCGGGGACAGGAGGCCGCCCCCAAAGCTGGCCTCGCGGTACTGGTTGGGGAACATGTTGCTGCCCACGAGGCTGGCAGTGCCCCCGTCCCCGGAGCCCGGGGTCTGGTAGGAGTCCAGCATGAGCGGCTCGGGGCCGGGGGGCTCCCCAACCGCAGCCCCTGCACCCCCGTTGCCCGCAACAGCGCTGGCAAGTGGCGGCGCCGGGGGCAGCATGTCCAGCATGGTGAAGAGCGTGGGGGGGGTGGTTTCGTAGGCAAAGCTGTTGTCGTCCAGGAGGTCCGGCCCGCCGGGGGGCTCCAGGCCGGGGAGGGACACGGTCCCAGGGAAGAAGTCTGCGTCTGGCAGCAGTGCTGACGGTGGTAGGAACGGGCCTGCAGGAAGGAGGAGAGAGAGAAGGAAATATGGGGGACTTTAGGGCCAGCTTCTGGCCAGGTCCTAACTCCTAAGTCCTGCCCCATACTAAATGTGTTATCAGTGTGGTCTCCTTTATAATTTTTTATTTATTTATTTTTTTCCCCCAAAGCCCCAGTAGATAGTTGTATGTCATAGTTGCACATTCTTCTAGTTGCTGTATGTGGGACACCGTCTCAGCATGGCGGGAGAAAGCGGTGCGTCAGTGTGAACCCAGGATCCGAACCCGGGCCGCCAGCAGTGGAGCGCATGCACTTAACCGCTAGGCCATGGGGCCGGCCCCAGTGTGGTCTCCTTTAATCCCAAGAAGAACCTCTGAGTAACGACTATCACCATGCTCATTTAATAAGCAAATTGAGGCAAAATAATTCACAGTCACACACAGCCGGCGAGTTGTGGAACTAGGGTTGAAACCACACTCCTGCAGTGCTGGGGAATCTTCCTCAAGAATGAGGAAGCTCCCCAACCCCAAAAGTGAAATCTCCACACCATCGGAGACCCAAGTGAGAAGTCATGAGTCCACAAATGGGAATGTCAAATGATAAGTGTCATTAGAGGAGAGTGTCTCTTTTTGAGACAAGACAAATCTCATCAGCAAAAGCTGGTGACGTTTATCTCAGAAAGAGACACAGGGCTGCTGGGACTCTATTTCCCAGCCTCTCTTGCAGCTTGATGTGCTCTGAGACTAAGTTCTGCTGGCTGGAATGTGGGCATGATAGCTGGAGCTGCAGCAGCCATTTTGGACCATGAGATGGAAATTGTGAGTTGAAAATGGCAGGATCCTGGGAATCAGAAGATCATGCAACCACCAAACCATCCCCGGACCACCCTACCTCTGGACTGTGTTTATGTGAGAGGAGAAATAAAAATTCTGTCCTGTTGAAGCCCCTGTTCTTTTGTGTTTTGCTGTGAATGCAGTTAAATGTGATCATAACAAATGCAGGTGGCACTCCTGATTTCTGGCAAGTTCCTAACATCTCCTGGGCACTAACTCTGTGCAGCCACTGTGCTAAATAACTGTGTGACATGACCTCACTAACTTCTAGAAAAGACCCTGAGAGGTAGGGTTTCCATCTGACAGATGAATAAACTGAGGCCCAAAGAGATCACACGGTGGCTAAAATGTGGCCTCAGTCTGATTCCAGAGGTCATGCTCCTAACCATTATACTATGGTGCCCAGGCGGCTTTGCCCCAAGGGTGAGAGAGGGGGGCTTTAGACATTGGGAAATTGGGGTGATGGAGGAAGTTGACCAATAGCAGCTGGCTGATGAGGAGGGGCTTCCGGGACTGGGGATTGAAGGTCGGTGAAATGCGCTAGGATTGGTGGTTGCTAGGGGCGGAGCTGTTGGGCAGTGGTTACCCACTGGGGAGGCAGAAAGGACAGGGGGTACTTGAAACCTCCAGGGCAGGGTGGGACTCGCTGGAGTGGTCCAGGCTTGACAGACTCCGAGTGGTTGGTGGCTGGCTGGGAGCTGGGCACCCTGGGGTGGCTGGGGGCAGCATTCTTAGATCTAGTGGTCAGCGGGTGGGGAGTCTTCTGATGGCAACCAGGTAGGGCTGGAGTTCATGGGAACCGGAGGCTGGCATGTGAGTTGAGATGAAGGCAGGGGTAGAAAAGGCCAGAGGGTGGCTGGGATGGAGGCAGGCTCTGAATTTGAGGTTGGCTGGCTCTGACAACTGCCCCCACTTACCCACCATCCACTCCCTGCCCCCTGTGTCACATCCATCATCGCTAACCCATACAGATGCCCAGGTGCGACCCCCCACTCCACCGCGGACCAACTGTGTATCCTTAGACTAGACACTTCGCTTCTCTGGGCTTCACCAGTAAAAAGGGGGCGGAGGGATGACCGCCGGGACCCACCTGGGCCCTGGCTGGGCAGGAAGTGGTCCAGGAAGGCTGGCTTTTTCCTCCTCCGTTTGCTCTCGATGCCGTGGGGGTCTGAGGGAAGGCAGAGATAAGGACTCCGGACCCCGACAGCCCCTCCTCCCCAGCCCAGGGTGAGGCAGGGCCGGGGGTCAATCCTCCCCTCCCAGGGCCCTGGAGAGGGGTGTGGAAAGGGGCAGAGGGGACATACCAGAGCTGTTCAGTTCCCCAAGGACGTCAGGCATCCCCCGTTTCCGCTTCTTGTCTACACCGTAGCTGTCTGTTCAGGAGACACCAGGGACATACAAAGTAATCCATCAATAGTAATAATTAAGAACTATTTTTAGAGACCATTTAGGAAGTTGTTGAGCTGTTCTAGTTCTTGGCCAACCAATGCAAATAGATGTTCACACCATGATCAGAATGAAACCCAAATCCTCTCTAGCAACACTGGCCTCTTTTTGTTCCTAGAACATTCCAGGCACAATCCTGTCTCAGGGCCTTTGCGCTTGCTGTTCCAGCTGCTTCAAACATTCTTCCTCAACTCCCACCACTTCCCTAGAGAACTGCTTAGTCATCCTCCCATCCTCAGCCGTCCCCGGCTCCAGGAAGCCCTCCCTGATCCCTAAGCCTGGGTCAGATGCCCCCTCCAGGCAATCTGAGTCCCCTGAGCAATTCCATCCCAGTCCTGCCCACTCTTGCTGTCACTGTATGGGAATGGGTCTGTCCCTCCACAGGACTGTGAGACTCATGAGGGCAGGGCTGGGGCCATCTCGGTCACTGCTGTGTCCCCAGCACTACCAAACACAAGGCCAGGCATGAACAGGCGTGCTGAGGGGAGAGATGATTAAATACTCCCCAAACGCCATGAGATGGGTGCAATTATTATTTCCATTTTGCACAGGAGGACAATGAGGCTGGGAGAGGCCAAGGTCGCACAGCCAGGAAGCGGCAAAGCCAGGATTTGAACCCCAGTCTGTGCCGCTCCTAGCCTCTTCCCCTTTCCCCTCTGGGTAGCCCCAAGCAAGGCCAAAGTCCTGGTCTCAGGGGCGAGGGTGGCGGGTCACCCAGGGTTGCCGTGGTTACCATGGTCCCGAGGCAGGTACGTGAAGGGCAGAGGCTCGCTGCAGACCCCGTCGGTGAGCCGCTGCAGGAAGACATTGACTGTTACAGGCTCCACGATCTCCAGGTCCTCGTAGGGCGGCGTCTTGAACACGATGGCGATCTGGCGGTGCACGTCGGCCTGGGAGAAGTCAGCCCGGCCTTCCCAGGAGGCCCTGCTGAACACCACCGATATATCCTCTGGCGGGAAACGAAGGACAGACGTCCACTGAGCCAGGACACTGGCCCACTGGGCCCCCATCTCACTCAGCCTCCCCCCAAATCAATACTCCTAAGAATAAAACGAATCATAGCGGCAGCTCGCTTTCTGTTGAGCACATCCTGTGTGCCATTCAGTAAGTGTTTTATATATATTATCTCATTTAATCCTTTTAACAACCAGAAAGGCAGGTAGAATTAATATTCCCACGGTGTCAGGGGTCCCAAAGACCACTGTCAGAGTCAGCGGTTCACTAAGGGGACTCACAAGACTCAGCATATAGTCACGCTCACTTCCACAAGTCCTCTCCCAGTGGCGTCACACAGGACATGCCAATTCCCCTGGGTGACAAACCGTGACAACTCATGTGAAATGCCGTCTAAGGAGGAAGCTCATTAGACACTCAGCGCCCAGGGTTTTTACTGGGGGCTAGTCACGTGGGCAGCCTCTACCTGGCACATATACAGATTCCAGATGCCCAGAAGGAAAGCAGATGTTCAGCACAAACCACTTGGCTTGTACAAGTAGTTTAGGCACGGGGAGCCACTCTTAGTGGTTAGGGAACGGTGGGGACCCTCCCAAAATCCAAGTGCCTGGAAGCCAGCCAAGGGTCGACCTTGTAAGCAGGGCTTTCAAAGGATGACAGTCTCAGATCTGCTATGTCAACTCTTTTGTACACACCCACTTTAAAGATGGGGTAACTGAGGCTTGGAGGGGTGAAGAGACTTACCCAAGGTCACAGGGCTGGTAGTGGAAGACTCAGGATTCAGTATGTTATTCTCCCTGCTATTTCTTTTTCTTGTCTTATTGCATTGTCTCTCATCACACTAACTCCATACACTGAGGCTTTCTATGTGTCAGACACACACAGATTGCCTCTAAGTCACACAACAACCCTAGGAACAGGGTACCTTTGGGAACTCCGTTACAGAGAGGAGGAAGCAAAGGCACAGAGAAGTGAAGTCACTTGTCCAAGGTCACACAGCGAGCAAGTGGTGGGAATCCAGGTGGGCTAGAGCTCTTCACCGCCAGCTCTACCAGGGCTTGGGGAAGTTACCTGATATCTCTGGGCTGAGTTTCCTCACCTTTACAGAGGGAACATCATGGTACTGACCTCACAGGTTGCTAGGAGGTTGCTAGGAGGATTAAACGAGGCAACCCAAGTAAAGGGTTTGGAAGAAGGCTTAGTATATAACAGGTGCCGAGTCCGTGTTAAGAAGGATTGTTTCTATCAGCATTATGCAAAGTACTCGCTTCAGGCCTGGAACTCAGACCATCCTCAGCAAATGCTAACTCTTTGTAGGGTACTTCTTGGGTAGCTGGGATCCCATGTCACCCTGCCAGTGGCTCATTTCAGGGATGAAGAAACAGAGGTTCAGGGTGGTGAAGTCACCTGCCCGAGATTGGCCGGTGAATGAATGATGGTGCAGGACTCACGCCCACCTCTCATTATTCACCCACACCTAGAACAGTGTCCTGCCCTGGCCCCAACTCCCTGGTCCCTAACAATCTCCTTGGTATCCCTCAAGTCTCAGCTTAAATATCACCTCCACTGGGAAGCCTTCCCAGATGCCTGGACCATGTCTGGTCTTCCTGTTGTTCAGTCTCAGTACTTTGTCTTCTTCCTTCTTGGCATCACCCACATTCATAACTTCTATCTCTTTCTCTACTTCCCACTGAACTGAGCGCCCTGTGAGGGCAGGGCCTGGGCCTGTCTCTGTCACAGCTGTGTCCCAGCATGAGGAGCCACCCAATAACCACTTGTCCATTCATTCAACATTTCATAAGAACTTCCCACTCCTGGGTACATATGTACAAGAATTGAAGACAGCTGTCAAACAAAAACTCATATATGAATGTTCATAGCAGTACTATTCATAACAGCCAAAAGGCAGAAACAGCCCAAATGCCCATCAGCGGATGAAGGGATACACAAATTGTGGTACATCCATACAATGGACTATTACTCAGCCGTGAAAAGGAATGAAGTACTAACACATGCTACAACATGGATGTACCTCAAAAACATTACGCTGAGTGAAAGAAGCCAGCCACAAAAGGCCACATAGTGTATGACTCCATTTATAGGAAATGTCCAGAACAGGCAAATCCACAGAGACAGAAAACGGATTAGTGGTTGCCAGGGACCAGAGGAGGGGGGACTAGGGAGCGACTGCTTAATGGGTACAGGATTTCTTTTTGCAAGCGATGAAAATGTTCTGAAACTGGAGAATGGTGGTGCACAGCATTATGAATATACTAAATGCCACTGAATTATACACTTTAAAATGGTGGGAAAAAAAAAAGAGTAAACTTTGTAGCCAAAAGAGTATTAGTAAAAGAAAAGAATTTGAAAAACAAAAGTTTTTCCTGAGAACCTCATGCGTGCTTGGCCCTGGACTGGGTGGTTCTGGGGACACAGCTGCTCACCAAGACAGCCCCAGGTCCTGCTCTTATGACCAGTCAGGGAGACAGACGTTAACTATGTAATCACACAACCTGAGAAAAGATGGAGGGGATCCCTGAGGCTCTGACAGGTTCTCCCGCTCTTCTCTTCTCTCACTGCCCTCCTGCCCTATTGGCCTTGCTGTTCCTCCAACAACCAGACCTGCTGCTACCTCAGGGCCTTTGCACTTGCTGTTCCCTCTGCTGGAACACTCTTCCCCAGATGGCCACACAGATCCTTCACGGCTCCAATATCATCTCCTGAGAGGGGCATTCCCTGGCCCCTCTAAGTAAAATTGTGCCCCCCAACCCCCCCAGCCATTCCTCCCTATCCCCTTTCTCAGCATTATTTTTCTCCAAATATTACTTTTTCACCATCTTCTTGAATTGTTTTCCAACTCTCTCTCTCTATTTTTTATTGTTCTTCCCAGAAGAAACGATGAACAGCACAGATCGCCTGGATTCAAATCCTGTCTCTACCTGCCTCGCTGTGTGACCTTGAGCAAGTTACTTAATCTTGCTGTGCCTTGGTTTCCGCATCTGCAAAAGGGGTAAAATAATAATATCTACCTCTTAGAACTCTTAGGCGAATAGATGATCTAATAGATGGTGCATACACAGCACTTATGACAGAGCTTGGCATACAGCAGGAGCAAGGTCAACGTTAGCTCTTTATTACTGTTGGTGGTGATGTTATTTCTAATAGAGTAATGTGATAGAAAATGCAAAGGATACAGAAAAGATAGAGACGGTAAAAGGGAAGGCTCCCTCCTGCCCTCTCTCCAGATGGGAAATCCTGGGCGGAGGGTTTTTTTTTTTTGGTGAGGAAGATTGGCCCTGAGCTAACATCCGTGTCCATCTTCCTCTATTTTGTATGTGGGACGCTGCCACAGCATGGCTTGATGAGCGGTGCGTAGGTCCCCACCTGGGATCTGAACCTGCGAACCCCAGGCCGCTGAAGCAGAGCATGAACTTAATCGCTACGCCACCAGGCCAGCCCCGGAGGGTTTTTCTTTTTTTTAAACCCTATTTGAAGAAGGGACTTTTAAACAGACGTGAAAGAAGTAAAGGAGCTGCGTCTCCCGGCCTGTTTTCTTCATCCGTAGCCCTTGTCACAACTGTCATAAAGCCTTTATTTATGCCACCCCACGATTTTAATATCAGCGCCCCCTGGACAGTGAGCTCGCGAGGGCCAGGACCACCTGGCACCCGTGTGGTCGGCACATTCAGCCCCCCGTCTTCGTGCGTGAATGAGGGAGCGACTCAGGGAGGGAAGGAATGAATCAGCCGTCTCTGTTCGACCCCAAAACCAGATTTCTAGATCCTTCCACTCTGCAGCCTCAGTTGGTCAGCTCCTCCTCACCCTCCTGGGCTCCCCGGCTCCCCTGTGGGCAACCAGACCCCGCCCCGCCTGCCCACCTGCGGCCCCAGGCCCCTCACCTTTCTGCACCTTGTCACACAGCAGGTAGAGCTCCTCGCCACCCGTGCACGGCCCGCTCTCCTTGTTGATTCGGCAGATCCGCAGCTCTGATGTGTTCGTGGACTCTGGGAAGGAGCGAGAGGAAGGGGCATATAAGAAAATACGAGAATTCGGTCATCAAACCCTTTCCAGGTCCCCCGTGGGTGCCCGTCCTGGGACGTGGGGAGGGGGAAATGGAGATCCTCCTGGAACCCGTGGTCCGGGTGGGAAAAGAAGATGCTGAGGCTGGAGGGGTTAAGGGGCAATCGTGAGGCCCCCATGCTGAGGTCTGGTGAGTGTCCAGCCAAAAGGGGGACCCTCAGACCTCAGGGAGAGCCAGCAGGGTCAGGGGTCAGAGACGATTCTTAGACAAGGGTCAATGGCCTGAAATCTGTGGTGGATAGCTGTTGTTTTGCTCATCTGCCAGTCCCGGCTCTTCTTCTGTTAACAGCACCCCAATTTTCCTTCAAGGACCACCCCCCATCTCAGTCCTGGAGACTGGGTAGGGCTGAGCCCACTCCCAGCTCAGCAATGATCATGTGACCCAGACCTGGCCAATCAGAGCATCGCCTCCTTCTGGCCACAGCTGATTGGTCAGAGAAGAGCACATGACCAAAACCTGGCCAATGAGAGACAGCCCTGAGACTTTGAGCAAAAATACTATGTAAGACAAGCTCTCTTTGGGAGTGGGGGAGAGGTGCCAAGCTGGTAGCATAGAAGCCTAGAGCTGCACACATTTTACCCTGCACGGGAGGGCCCTGCCAAGAATGAATAAAGTAGAGGAAGCAGAGCTGAGAGGCAGAAAGAGACAGATCCCTAATGACATCACAGAGGATCTGGATGCAGCCAGACCTGAAGCACTGTGCTACCCCTGGATTTTTTTAGTTAATGGAACAAACATATTCTTCTTTTTTTCCTTATTTGAGTTGGGATTCTATCTCTTGCATCCATAAAAGCCCTGAATAAATTAATATCCCTCCCCATTTTGATGCTTGTGGCTGGCAGTCACTGTAGGCTGGCTAAAATCTAACAGCTGTTCCCAATCCCCTCTTCCATGCCTATACCCCTCTATAGAGGATGAAAAACCTAAATACTTGCTTTCCCAGACTCCCTTGCAACTAGGGGTGGCCATGGGACCAAGTTCTGGCCAATGAAACATAAACAGAGGTCTACTAGGGTGATTCTGAGGAATATATTATTTTCTCTATAAAAGAGAGAGACATTGTTACTCACGCTGCCTCTTCCCTAGGGCTGGCTAGTACAGTTGTACAGGTTGTTCATTCTATAACACTAGGAGGCCCCATTTCCATAGGCTACATAGTAAATGCTGATCCCTGGAATTGGGCAGTGTACAACATGCACACCATACAGAGTGACACTGCCCATCATGCCTTGAACACAGACATGATGTCTGGAGCTGTGGCAGCCATCTCATGACCCTGAGGGAAAAGCCAAGAGAATCACAGAGCTGCTGAAACAGTGCCCTGATTTTGCTGAGTTGAATCACCAAGAACAGACTTAATAACTGAGACAAACAAAAATAAAGAACTTGCTGTTTGCTCACACCATTGTATGTGGGGCTTCCTGGTACCTGCGGCCAAGGACAATCCTAATGGGCACAGCACCCTCGACTCACTCTTGTCATAGACGGGCTCTGAGAGCACAGGGTCCATCCGGCGCATCTGTCCCTGCTGGTCCCTATAAGAGGCCTGGAAGCAGATCCTCACGACGTTCATGTCCACTTCCTGATGGTTCTTCAGGGAGCCGGCTGTGCGAGAGATATGGAAGGCTGAGTGGGGGGAGGGGGTGGAGGCCCTGGTGGGGCATGGAGGGCAGCGAGGGAGGAGATGGTGGGGACTGGAGAAGGCGAGGGGACGGGGGTGTGCAGAGGGGGCGCAGGGTTTGGGAGGACGCGAGGATCAGGCCAGGCACTGGGACTCACCGTTGTAGGGGTCAATGCCCAGCTGAATCTTCCGCTCGATGGCGGCCTCGATCTCCTTCTTCCTCACACACTGGATGCCCAGGTTGTTAAAGCTGGATGGGGGGAGAGCGGGGAAGGGCGGTACTCAGGAGGGGGCCGGCGTAGCCCTAACTCACAGGGGGTTCCAGCACATGCAGCCCCCAGGCTCACAGTCTCAGGGGCTGAGGCGCCCCAGGCCCAGGGGTCCCAGCATTACGAGGGGTCCGGGGTTCAAGCCCCTCAGGGGGTCGAGGATTCTTGCGAGCACCTAGGAACACACCTGCTCTCACCACATGAAAACACTGGCTGACCTCATTCATCATAAGACAACTGCAAATTCACCACCAATGCAAGGCCAATTTTTTAAAACTCATCCAAACAGCAAAGATCCAAGTTTGATAATGACCTCTGCTGGTGAAGTTGTGAAGAATCGAGCGCCCTCGCACACTGCGGGGGGGCTGTAAATGGCTTCAGCAATTATACCTCGGAGGTATACTACGGCAGTAGTCATTCACGCCACAAATATTCCCTACTGTGTGCCAGGCACTGGGCTGGGTGCTGGGGGACACAGCAGGGAACAAAAGAGACAAAATCCCTGTTCTCACGGAGCCGACATTTTCACTACATTTATAAATCAGTAAAAGTATAAATGTAGAGACCTGGAGCCAGCAATTTAATTTCTAAGAGTTTACCCTAGAGAAGAAATGATGTATATGTAAAGCCATTCACTGCAGCACAGTTAGTAATGGAGCCACAAGAGAGTGGCACCATCGTAAGTGCCCATCAATAGGGGACTTGTTCAATGAATTGTGCACATCCACGCACTGGAATACTATACAGCCAATTAAAAGAATAAGGCAGCTCTCAGTGTACTGATAGAAAGATCTCTAAGACGTACTGGAACATAAAAACGAGGTGCAAATGTCTGCTACCATTTATAAGGGGAGAAAAAGATATATGCACAGCATATTTTTAATTGCCTCCAAGAAGGGGCACTGGCAGCTGGAAGACCAAAGATGGAAGGAAATTTACTTTTCACTGTACCTCCTTTCTGAGCCTTTTAATTTTTTATTTATTGAAAACATACAAATTATGAAGCTAGAGAAAGAATGGGCCTTGCAGTTAAGGCAGATCTGGAGTGAATCCAAGCTCAGCCATTGGCTGTCTGTGCTCCTTCACCTCTCTGAACCTCAGTTTCCTCCTCTGCAAAATGGGGATACATATAATGTGTGTGAACGTGAGTGTGGCAGGATTCCAGGCTGAGGGAAGACCCTCCAGCGCCCCGGAGCCTCGGTTTCCCCATCTAGGAAATGCAGTGGGGAGAGTCTGGCTAAGCTGCCTCTTGTCTTAAGGTTTCCCTGGGTGACCCTCAGCCCCTCGCAAACTCCGTGACCAAGGGCAAGGGGTCAGAGGTCAGGGGTCAGGGGTTGGGTACCTGTGCCGGGGGCTGACGTGAGGCCGGAGCCGCACCCTGCAGACGCCGTCGGTGCAGTCCTTCCCCACGAGGCTGTGGGGGTGGACTCGGTGAGGCCAGTCCTTCCACACCAGGCACGCGGTCACCTCCACCTCCCGCAGCCCTCCACAGTCTCGGAGCTGCAGGAAGACAGGGGCTCTGTGGGGGTCCCATTGCAGACACATGCGCCCATCCAGACTCCCCGGGGCCTCCCTTCCAAACTCCTCTCCCCCCAGGAGGATAGAAGGCTGTTTGCTAAGACCCTTCTGGTGGCCTGGGGGCCTCATGACACGACGGCTGCCCCACAGATGTGCTTTCTTTGGCCACTCGACTTTTCAAAATTGGATGTAGGTCGGGTCTCCAAGTATGTCCCCCGGATGACATACTGATGACAAGGGGAGAAAGGCACCTTCCCAGTGGAGAGACCTGGGCAACACCACCTTAACCAGCTGGCCAAATTCAGCATCACTAATCCTGGGCCAGAATGACTCGGGCGCCCCCTATGGGCCGCGCTGGGAAGGACACAACGTCACTTCCCTGATGGCCCCTCCGCAGAGCACCACCTGAATCTCCTCGCCAGGAAGCACCAGACAGGCCCACACTGCGGGTCACCGGGTCAAAATATCAGTGTCGTGAAAGACAGTAAAAAGATGTGTGTCATATTTTCGGTGAAAAGAGAACAAATAACGTATTTTGACCCGGCTGGTTGTTACACAGTGTCTACATATGTAAAAATGCATATAGCTGTCCACTTAAGATTTGATGAAATATACTCAATTTAAAAAAAAAAGGAGAGGGACTAGAGAGTCAGGACAATGAAATGCAACATCTGATCCCTGATTGGATCCTTGATTGAGGAGGAGGAAGCAATGATAAAACCCATTTTTGGGACAACTGGGAAATTTAAGTATGGACAGTACATTAGATGATATTGTTAATTTTCCTAGGAGCTAATTCTTAGGACATACGGGCTGACGTATCTAAAGGTGAAGTCACACGATATTTACAACTCATTTGCAACAAACAACGTGTGTATTTGTGTGTGTGTGTGTGTGTACGTGTGTGCATATGGAGAGAAAGTGACAGATACAGCAAATGTGGTAAACACAGGTGAAGGGTATATAGTAACTTTTTCCCATAATTTTAAAATATGCTGAATTTTCAAGGACTACAATCCCCATACTAATTGAGAGAAGACTAGATTTTGTTTAGAACTGGAATTGTTTGCCACTTTGGAAAATCCCGTCACCAAGAGCAACCCTGGGTGTGTGGCATTTAAGCCACCGAGTCCACCCGCTGGGTCAGGCTGCATTTGCAGCCGCTGCATTAATGAGGTCAAAACTAATTGTTACTGGGCTGGCCCGGCGGCACAGCGGTTAACTGCGCATGCGCTGCTGTGGCGGCCTGGGGTTCGCCGGTTCGGATCCCGGGCGCGCACTGTCGCACCGCTTGTCAAGACATGCTGTGGTGGCGTCCCATATCAAGTAGAGGAAGGTGGGCACGGATGTTAGCTCAGGGCCAGTCTTCCTCAGCAAAAAGAGGAGGATTGGCATCGGATGTTAGCTCAGGGCTGATCTTCCTCACCAAAAAAAAAAAAAAAAAAAAACCTGCTACTTTCCTTATGTTTCCCTGGCGCTGTGCCCGAGCATTTACATTCTGAAATACATGTGCTTCTCCATGCTTATTTCTCCTTCATACTCAATTTAGGGCATTATGGATTTGGGGATGATTATGAGTAGAGGGAGGTAATATTGTCTATAAATTTCATTGAGTCAGATAGGGTTTAAATCATTCATTTAACCAGCTCCCCGTTGTAATATTAGGGGATTCTGAAAAGCTCAGAGTCAACAGTCTCAGGATTCATGAAGGCTGCAGGGCTGAAAGCTTTTCATCTTCCAGACGTCACACAAGACCGTGGATAAGACATTAAGCCTTGGAGAAAGTCAGACCTGGTACTAAAACCAGGCTCTGCCACTGGCTGCCTGCGTGATAAACCTCTCTGGTCTCACTGTCCTTATCTGTAAAATGGGTATTATTAAGTACTTGGCACACAGGAGCACTTAGTAAACGGTGGGAATTCCTAGAGAGAACTTGCTGTGTGCCCCTGAGCAAGTGACTTACCCTCTCTGGGCCTCAGTTTCCTCCTCTGAAAGATGAGGATTAAAAATCCTGAATCCAGATTCAGAGACAGGTCATCCCCTATGGTTGGACTTGTACTTTTCTAACTCTCTGAAATCAAAACCAACACTAAGCCAAAATAATTGCCCAGAAAGACTTAGAAATAAAAAGTTGGGGACAATACAGCCTCGAAGAACCATCTCGCAGATAACTCACTAATGACAAAGGGAAAGCTGGACTTTTACAGGAGAGACCAGGCTGTCACTACCTGTTATGGGCTGAATTGCAGCCCCCTAAAATTCATATGTTAAATCCCTAATGCCCAGTCACTCAGAATGTGACTGTACGTGGAGATAGACCTTTTCAAGACGTGACTGAGTTCATGAGGCCATTAGGGTGGGCTCTAATCCAACCTGCATCATGTCCTCATTTGGACCCACAGAGACACCAGACAAGAGCGGACACCGAGGAAAGACCATGTGAGGGCACAGAGAGAAAGTGGCCATCTGCAAGCCACGGAGAGGGGCCACAGAGGAAACCAGCCCGGCGACACCTTGATCTTGGCTTTCCAGCCTCCAGAACTGTGAGAAAGGAGATGTCTGTCTGAGCCACCCCATCTGTGGTATTTTGTTAGGGCAGCCCGAGCAGATGAACACACCACCTTAACCATGGGATCCGACTCAGCGTCACTGATATTGGACAAACTGCCACCCTATGTCCCTTGACGTGAGACATTGAGGAGGCCACAGCATCACCGCTGGGGTATTCCCAACAAGACGCATAACCTGATCTAATCTGGAAACCGCCAGCGAAGCCAGAATGCAAGACATTCTACAGAACACCTGTCCTGGGGCCCGCCCCGTGGCTTAGCGGTTAAGCTCGCGCGCTCCGCTACTGGCAGCCCGGGTTCGGATCCCGGGCGCGCACCGACGCACCGCGTCTCCGGCTATGCTGAGGCCACGTCCCACGTACAGCAACTGGAAGGATGTGCAGCTATGACACACAACTATCTACTGGGGCTTTGGGGGAAAAAATAAATAAATAAAATTAAAAAAAAAAAAAAAAGAACACCTGTCCTGTCCTCCGCAAATGTCCACGTCCCCAGACACAAAGACAGTGAGGAACTGACCCAGGTCAAAAGACATGAGAGAGACCTGTCGCAGTCCAGTCGGGCTGCTATGATGAAGACCATGAACTGGGTAGCGTGTGAACAGCAGAAACGTGTTTCTCACAGCTCCGGAGGCTGGGAGTCCGAGATCGGGGGCCAGCATAGCCGGGCTCTGATGAGGGCCCTCTTCCGGCTGCAGACTGCTGAGCTCCCATTGCGTCCTCACGTGGTGGACGGGGCAAGGAGGCTCTCCGAGTCTCTTCTATAAAAGTACTAATGCCATTCATGAGGTCTCTGCCCTGCTGACCTGAGCACCTTCTGAAGGCCCCACCTCCTAATACCATCACCTTTGTTGTTACTGCTGTTGATTCCGACTCCTAGCCACCTGTGGACAGCAGAACAGAACCCTGCCCGGTCTTTCCGTGCCATCCTCTCCCCTTCCTGCGCTATATCAGACAGTGCTCCACTGCCATTCATAGGGTGTTCATGGCCAATTTTTTTGGAAATGGGTGGCCAGGTCCTTCTTCCTAGCCTGTCTGAGTCTGGAAGCTCTGCTGAAACCTGTCCACCTTGGGGGTCCCTGCTGGTATTTGAAATATCAGTGACATAGCTTTCAACATCACAGCAACACGCAGCCACCACAGAATGACCACCGACAGACAGACAGGCGGTGTGGTTCCCTGACCGGGAAATAAATCCTAGCTGCGGCCGTGAGAGCACTGAATCTTAACCACGAGACCACCAGGGCTGGCTACCCTCACCTCGGGGGTTAGGATTTCAACATATGAATTTGCGGGGGACACAGACATTCAGGCCATGGCAAAACCTGACAACTAAGTGTAGCACGTGATCCTGGACTAGATACAAATAAGCAGACAACAAAAACAACAGCTGAAAAGGATATTTTGGGGATGACTGGGATAATTCGAAAATAGACTGAATACTAGATAATATCCTTGTATGAATATGAAGTTTCCAGAGAGTGATAACAGCGTTGTGATTAGACAGGTCCTACATTGTAGGAAAGGCCCTTGTTCTAGAGAAAGACACGACGAAACATCATGTCCCCAACTTACTTTCAAATCCCCCTCCATAAATGACTACATAGAGAGAGAGAGAAATAAAGCAAATGTGGCAGAAGGCGTACGGGTGTTCATTGGGCTATTCTTGTCTATTTTATACAGGTCTAGAATTTTTCAAAAGAAAAAGTTGAGACAAAGTTGAAAAAAATCTCCTATCAAATTGGAAAAACAGGCAAAAAGCTTAAAAATAAATAAGGGGCTATGAAATTGCCCCTCCACGCACCACACTTGCCCCATTCCTGAAAATCCAGTGACAGAATGTACATTTCAAAGTCAACCATTCTTTTAACCAGAATGTCCCGCTGACCGCATGCTACTGTTGGTCACGATGCCTGGAGACAAATCAAATAACAGCACCAACTACAACCATCCAGCTGAGGAAAGCAGGAGGGCATACCGTCTCCCTGGTTTCCTCACTGCGTCCTGTGCTGGCTGGAGCTTCAGCCCCATTTTACAGATGAGGAAACTGAGGCCAACAGAAGCACTGGACTTGCCCCAATTCACACGGCTGGTAAGTGGCAGAGCCAGGTCTCAAACTCCAGGCTTTCTGACATTAAAATCCAAACTTGGGAGGAGGACGAGGTTGTTCTGCTCATCACCCAAATAAAGCCACGAGAACAAATCCCATCGAGGGAGAGGGTGAGGGAAGCAGGAGACCTCACTCAAGGGAGCTCAGACCTGGGGCGGGGGTCAGGGAAGGTGTCCCTGAGGTGGGCTGAAGAGGAGGTGACCAGGCTGCAGGAGGAAGGCACTCCAGGCAGGAGGAACAGCATAGGCAAAGGCCCAGTGGCTAGAGGGGGCGAGTGAGGAGGGGCTGGGTGGGAACAGCAGGAGCCAGACAATGAGAGGTCTTGGAGGCCCAGGGAGGAGCTTGGGCGTCCTCCTGAGGGCACTGGGGAGCAAGGGAGGGTTCTGAGCAGGGGAGAGAGCAGACGTGTCATTTAACGGGACCTCTCGGGCTGCCTTGTGGAGGAAATCTGGAGGGGACTAGAAGCTGGTCACCAGGGAGGAGGCTGGAGGCCGGGGAGCAGCTGGGGCCGGCACCTGGGGCTAGTGGAATGGTTAATACACAATTCAGGTTCAATAAACATTTGGACAAAGATCCAAAAGCACATGAAGGCTCCGTATTGGGGAGGCGCAAGGCACCAGGCCTCTCCAACACCACTGGGAGAAACAGTCTGGGTACGACCCTCATGGAGGGCAATTTGGCAATATCCATCAAATTACCTTTGACTGGCAATTCCACTTCTGGAAGGTACTTGAGTGACACATATGAAGGAAATAATAGATGAACTGAGTGATTCTCTACAGCCCTGCTTATAATAGTAGGAGACTGGAAACAACCTACATGCCCGAGAATAGGAGACTTGCATCATAAATGATCCCACATCCACACAACGGGATATGATGGGGGAGAGAATAAGGCAGCTTCAGGCATGCTGATGTGAGCTGAGCTCCAAGACCTACTCTTAAGTTAAAAAAAGCATGGCGCAGAACAGCATATAGAACACTCCCCTGTACGTACAAAAAGGGGGATAGTATAAATGGATGTATATGTTTGCCTGTATAATCATAAAATACTCCTGGAAGGATACATACAATATTGACAACAACAGGGGAACCTCTGGGGGAACCTGGGGGTAGGGGTGGGGGACTTTCGTTCATTTTAATTAAATTTAAATTCTGTTAATTGAATACGAATGTTTATATTTTTGAACGTTTTGAACCACATCACCTGATTGAAAATTTTAAAACAAAATAAAGATGTATATAGTTAAAAATCTTGGGCCAGCCCTGGTGGCCTGGTGGTTAAGTTCGGCATGCGCCGCTTCGGCAGCCCGGGTTTGCTTCCCAGGTGTGGACCCACACCACTGGTCTGTTAGTTGCCATGCTGTGGCAGCAGCTCACATACAAAAACAAGAGGAAGATTGGCAGCAGATGTTAGCTCAGGGCGAATCTTCCTTAGCAAAAAAAAAAAAAAAAAAAGAAAAGAAAAGAAAAGAAAAACTTACTCTATCCATTTAGCAATCCCCCCCTAAAGTAATCACCTTTATTTATTTCTGTTTTTCCTTCCAGAGTTTCCTTTTTTTTTTGTCAAGAAGACAGCATTTAAAAAATTTTCTTAAAGTATAATTGACATGCAATATCCTATTAGTTTCAGGCATACATCACAATGACTCAATATTTACATACTCTTCCAGAGTTTCTATACGCACATACTAGCAAATACAAATATAAATCTTGAGGCCAGCCCGGCGGCCTGGTGGTTAGGTAGGCGTGCTCCGCTTCGTCGGCCCAGGGTTCGCAGATTCGGATCGCGGCGCGCACCAGCGCACCACTTGTCAGGCCATGCTGTGGGGGTGTCTCATATAAAGTGGAGGAAGATGGGCACGGATGCTAGCCCAGGGCCACTCTTCCTCAGCAAAAAGAGGAGGATTGGCATTGGATGCTAGCTCAGAGCTGATCTTCCTCACACACACACACAAAATATATATATAAATCTTATCTTTCCCTCTTTTTAACACAAAAAGTAGTATATGCAGGGTCTGTGCCTCCATTTTTTTTTTTTTTTTGCTTCTTAATATGTGTTGGAGCTACTTCCACATCAGTACCTAGAGGATATCTTCATTTAAAAATGTTTCTGTATTAACTGTATGTATCTATATTTATCTGCACACATAGACTTGTTACGGCTGCAGAGGATTCCATGTGTAGGTGTTCATCAATTATTTCCCCCCCCCGTCCCTTACTGATTGACACTGACGTTCCGAATTCTTCACCATACAAACGAGGCTGCCGGGGATAACCTTTTTTGTGTGTGTGTGAGGAAGATTAGCTCTGACCTAACATCTGCTGTCAATCCTTCTCTTTTTGCTGAAGAAGATTGGCCCTGGGCTAACTTCCGTGCCCACCTTCCTCTACTTGATATGGGACGCTGCCACAGCGTGGCTTGACAAGCGGTGCGTTAGTGCGAGTGGGGATCCGAACCTGCGAACCCTCGGGCCGCCGAAGCAAGCGCGCGCGCTTAACCACTACGCCAGCAGGCCGGCCCCTGCAGTGGATAACCTTGGACATCCCTCTGTTTGCCCAGATGCAGGCACAGCTATGTGATCAATTTCTAGAAGTGGAATGGCCCGGCCTACGAGTAAGGACGACAATAATAATAACACTAATAATGATTGAGCACTTACCTCCTTGGAGGTCCTTGCCATGTATAGTTAACTCCTTCACTCCTCCCAGCAACCCCAGGCGGCAGGTTATTATGACTACCCCATTTTGTCCAGGAGGAAACTGAGACCCAGAGGGACTGAGTGACCCGCCCAAGGCTGCACAGCTGGTAAATGGCAGAAGCGGGATTTGAACCCAGGCGCTCTCATTCTTAAGGCCTCGCTCGTGAACCAGGAGGCTACCCTGCCTTTACCAGCGATGGTAATTTTGATCAGCACTGCCAAATTGCCAGGAAGAAGGCCTTTCTTTGAACGCCCTTTTCAATTTGCGGCCAGGCGAGAGCATTACCGGTTCCAACAACAGCAACGGCAATAATAATACCCCCCCCATCAAATACACGCACATGAACCCGGGGGCGAGGGCAGCGCCGCGAGCCCCCCGGCCCCAGCCCCGGGCCCCACCTCGATGGCGGGCAGCGTCTTGCTGGCCTCCGTGCTGCTCTCGCCGAGGATGCTGCCGGCCGAGCGGCCCTCGCACTCGTAGCGGAAGCGCATGCCGCGCTGCTTCGGCTGCTCGGTGATG